ATATAGAAATTTGATTGGCCAATCATTAATATGCGATGTATAAGCACATCGCGGGGTTGCGACGCCTAATTAAGTCCCATAATGAATAATTTTAAAAACTATATAAATATTTGTACAATACTAAATAGCAAAAAATATTTAATATTTTCAAAAATATCAAATTTGAAGATTATATAATTAATTATAATTGGTCAATTTTTATATAATGAATTTGGATTAGTTAATAAATAATATAGATAATTTTTTATATATTAAACATTAAATTTTTAAAGATGTATAAAATTTAAAGTATTATAACTTAAAAATAAACTAGTTTGGCAAAAATTTTTCTTACAAATTTGTTGCTTTTTAATTAAGTTATAATTTTTATTGAAATAAATTTTTATCTAGTTTACAATTTTAAAAAGTTATAATACTTTTTATATTCTATATATTAAAATTAGATATTTGGTACTATAAAAAATTGAAAAACTATAGTTTGTAATCAATAAGTATATTGTATTTTTGATTTTTATTATTTTAAATAAAAGATATATAAAATTTATCTAAAAAATAAAATAATAAAAAAATAAACCAAAGAGTAATAATCACAATTTTAAATTTTAGTTTAAATATAAATATTTTTGATTTTCATTTAATTACTGTATATATTATAATTTTTAATAAATATAGCAAAATGCAAAATAAATCAACAAAAGATGTGACAAGAAATGCTTTATACAACCGTTACTATTTATTAATGCTTTCGCTATGCGAACATCTGTGGAGATGGTGGTGAATTTTCATAATTATCGCTAAATTGTCTAATAAATTGATCTATAATTGGTTGTTCCTCTATTCTAACAATACTTTTTGCTAATTTTAATTTTTTGCGCATTGACATGTTAAATAATTCTTCTTTCGTCATATTATCGATTATGTCTGCCATTCTGTCATCAACCTCTTCGGATATAGGTTCAAAAAGCTTTGATTTCTTTTTAAGTGGTTCTGGTAAACTTGCCTGATCTTGATATGTAATCTGTTTTCCAATTATACTATGAATAAATATCCCTTCATCAAGTACGAACTGTTTGATTATTGCCAAAGCAATACCACGATTATCAATTTCAGAAGATGCCAAATACTGATTTTCATTTTTTGTCATAAACAAGTAAATAGTCCAATTTTCATTGCAATCAGTTAAAACAAACAGATTTTGAAACAGATATATGATCAATTAGAAATAATTTTCCGATAGCTTGACCCTCTTTAAAATTCTCTTTCCTTTTTTTAGTTTCAATCCAAACACAGTCGTTTTTGCTTGGTCCAATAGAAATATTAGCACCACCTGTTAAAGTAACATTGGAGCTTCGTATATATCGTTGATAATTTTGTGTATGGACATCCTTTACATAAAAACCTCTTGGTAAGTTTAATACATCCTTAAACCATTCCTGAACTTCAGACATTTGGTAATCTTCATCGATTTCCATATTCCATAAAAATGGCTGGCATGATATAGGTTCAATAGATTGAAAGTCTTCCGCTGAGATCTAATAATAGATAAATGGTAAAATAATGAAATCATCACAAATAATACAGGAAGTATATACTTACTTTTAAATGTTTTAATTTGAAAGAAGCTACTATTTGATCGGCTTTGAAATCTGAGAGACCTGATACTGAGATCTTTGCAGGCATTTTCCAGGAGAGTTCTTCCCGCCATTTTGCAATCTCGCTTAAAACTTCCGATTCTTCATGTTTGCGTTTTGACGTCGCTTGTAATAATAGAAAAAAAAGCCAAAGTTAATTAACGTCGCAAAAATGCAAAACTATTTTAACCTGTTAATCATCACTTTTTTCCTGATACATACTAGATCCCGTTACGATAACTTGTAGAGGAGTATTAGCATTATTTTTAAAATTTTTATCCACTGGCAGGTCAGGAAGCAAGTCTATTTCTTCATCGTTTTTTCTTAATAAAATACGATTAACAGCAACATAATCCAAATCGGGTGACAGTTCCTTCTTGATCACTTTTTTTAAGTCGTCTACAATCTCTCCGTCAAAAGAAATTCGAGTCGGTTGGCTAGCACCATACTTGATCCAGATTTTGAAATCTAACTGAAGGTTTCCGAAACCTATTTTTTCTTCGAAGACAGCAATTAATGATTTATCTACGAAATATTACTGTAATAAATCTACTTTACCACTGGATATAGATTCTTCCTTTTGTAGAGAGGGAGCATTTTCAACAATCATAGCATCTCTGCCTTGTGTCAATGTACTAGATGTGCTAGCAACAGTAGGTGGTGCATCCTCTACGAAAGAAGGGTTTTCATTAATTATATGAGTTCTTCATAAAAAATGCTCGAAAATGTATAACCGTACTTTTAACTTTTCTTTTCTGAGACTTTCTCAATTTTGATGACATTATTTATGATGCACAACATGATTGGCACCTTTTTACATCACGAGGAGTACAAAACAACATCACGGGAAAGAAAAAATCTGATTGTCAATTACAACGAAAAATTTTATTACATTTCTATTAAGTTGGCCAACTCGGGGAAATGCAGGATATTGTATGCGAAGTTTTTAAAGATCACCGCTTTCGACATAATGCTCAGAACTAAATAATTTTTCGTCTACTCACCTTTACATATTTTTTATGCATTTGGGGGGGGTGTCAATAGAAACTAAGCAAATCGTTTCTAAGTAAATTTTTTTTAAAACTTTAAAGTAAATGTCTCAACAATTATTAAACTAGACAACAATTTTTATTTTATATAGTTATAGAATTAAAAAAAAATAATAATAAATTTTACCAAGTTTGATTTAATAGTTGTTAAGATGTTTTAATTTAAAATTTTACAAAAAACTTACTAAAAACCATTTGCTTGGTTTCTATTGACACCCCCCCCATTTGCTCACATAAGCAAGAATATTTGACATGTACAGTGCAGGACATCTAAAGGTGCTGAAAATTTTGCAGATTATTTCTTATATAAATGAATTTGATTGGTTAAATTTTTAATAATGACTTGTAAAAATAATTTGATTGGTTGAATTTTTATTATCAAGATTAATTTTTTTATAATAGTGCTAAATTTTTTGAGATAATAGTAATTCTAAGATAAAATAGCTTCATAATAAAATAAACTTTTTTTAAAAAAAATTTCTATAAATATATACTTTTAAGCATAAAGAATAAATTTACAGAAAGTTTTTTTTAAAGATTAATTGTATTATTCGTTTTAAAAGATTTTTTAATGTGAATAGATGTCGCGCACTGTATGTTACACAAATCAGAAACCCAAAGTAAAATATAACAGCATTAATTGAACAAAAGATACATTTGTTTAAATTTTAATAATTCCAATAATTTATTCATATAATTCGATTAGATTTAAAATTTTAACGGAATATTAGATATGTTCATAAAAAACCTATCTTCTTATAGTTCGACAAATTATTTAGTTCTACCTATTGGATTTAAGATTACAAAAGTTGAACCCAGTTTCGACTTCCATAAATATTATAATCTACAGTCTTTGTAACAAATATAATCTAAACATACTATCAATCTGAGAACAAACTTGCTTACTAGAGATCTAATTACAAAAAAAAAAAAAGAAGCTACAGTCAGACCCCCCTAAATGCACCCTCCCTAAACGCATCACCTCTCTAAATGCATGATGTAAGTCCGGGCCCATGGCAGGACTTATAGATAAATGCACGTTCTTTATTCTGTAAGTGCACGCTAATTGTCTGGCCCACTTATAAAAACTCCCTCCATAAATGCATCCACGTGATTATTAGCCAACCAAATTCATTATTTCTAGGCAACCCTCTCTAAATGCACGCTCTAGAGCTGGTCCCGACGACGTGCATTTAGGGAGGTCTGACTTTGTTTCTTTTGTTTTAGAGATTCTTATATAGTATAAGCAATAACTGAATTAAAACAAACGTTCCATAGCTGATCTTCATGACTATTCCTCCGTTTTCATGATAGTATATAGAACGAAAGGTGTAGTGTATATGTGACGATACATTTCAGAAATTGACCAATCGGATTTAAAGACCGTTATGTTAATTCGACTGGTTAATTTTCACGTGATAGACATTAGCCAATTATAATTTCATGTGTTTACGAAACGAAGCAAGACATGAATGTTTAAATCTATTTTTGAGGGCACTAACAGAAAATGTCGGGAGGTAATTTTGCTTCTAATCTCTACTTTTATCCTAATCTTAAACTGCACCTAATTTTAATGAATAAATTTTTATGATCAAACACAACTTTAGATTCTCCTAAAATTGTCAGATCGGGATGATTACTTTTAGAATCTTTCGGTTTGGTATTTTCCCAGAACATTTGAATAATAGTCGCCTAAAAGCTACGTTTCCTCTTTTTCAAAGACATATTACACAAAGATATACTACACAAGTGATATCATTTTATGATGACAAAGTTACCAAGGTAGGTTATTAACATTCGATTAATTGTAGACGTGTTCTTTTTGTTTTTTATTTCACAATAGATTAACAAAGTTCTCCAGTATGCTGAACAATCTATTAGACCGGTCACTCTTAAACAATTAATTCGATTCGGCCAACCTCCACTTAGTACTCCTACGCTCCTTGACTCAGCGCGATATACTAAATCGGAACTTCCTGTTCGTCTTGCTCGTCGTGTCAAAGCTTTACAAAAACTTCCATTTATAGTAGGAACTAATCCATATATCAAAAAAATTTATCAATTATACTTTGATTCATTTGAATTGATTTGTAATTTTTCTGACATTACCGAAGAGAAAACTGACGACAAATTTGCTGAAATGTTAGCACAAATAGTATCAAATCATTCTGAGAACATTCCTACATTGGCTAAAGGTTTTTTTTTCATATATATTTATATATATACACTTTATTATTATACGTATTCCTATTTTTGTGGTTTGTTATTAACGTTGAATATTTTTATTTCAGGATTTCAAGAATGTAAGAAATATATGTCTGCGCAAGATATAAAAAACTTTCTTGATGACATGATCAGTGCTCGTATCGGAATACGTCTTATTGCAGAACAACACATTGCTTTACACAACGCACATAATCCTAATGTTATTGGGATCATAGACACTCGAACTAGTCCTGCAGAATTAATTCAATCATGTGCAAACTGGGTTCGAGAACTTTGTGAAGGTCATTATGGCTCCTCTCCAGATATAATTATTGATGGGCAAACGGATACGAGATTTGCTTATGTTCCAGTACATTTAGAATACATAATTTCTGAAGTATTAAAGAATGCTTATCGTGCCACTGTTGAGTATAGTTCAAAAATTAAACGGGATAATCATCCACCGATTGTAGCTACGATATCAAAAGGTGAAAATAATGTCGGAATTAGAATTCGAGATCAAGGAGGTGGTGTAGCTCCTGATCATCTGCCATCTATATTTGATTATTCTTTTACAACTGTACCTCATGATGAGGATTCACATACTGATAATGTGGATAATATATTATCAAACGTCTCTAGACATGCCATGCAGGCTGGATTGGGTGGACCGATTGCCGGATTAGGTTATGGGTTAGTATTTTTACATTTTTAATATTTTCATAAAAAATTACTATTACATTTATCCTAATTTTTTGAATTAAAATATCTTTATAGACTTCCCTTGGCTCGTATTTATGCTACGTTCTTTGGTGGATCATTGAATCTTGTATCTCTTCATACTTATGGATGTGATTTGTTTTTGAGATTGAATGACATTAGTAAATCATTAGATGATTTACAAATTTAAAAGTAACTTTGTTCAATAATATTATAATTATAGAAGATATTAAAAAAAGATCCATATTTATAATAAATACCAAAAATGATTTATTGTTATTTACTATACATATGTAAATTGAAATTCTCTTAATCATTGCGAAAACCAGAGTAATGCATAATGATACCACTTTTAATAATCATTAATTCGTTCAACTGAGTGAAGATTTCGTGGCTGACATTACATTAGGATCTTAAACTAGAATACCTAAACTATGTATTTATGTAACGAGTGACTTTGGTCGTAGTTTATGAAAGTGACACGATTTGCTGGTACATGTAAATGTTAGATCTTATAATGAATAGATAATGAATATTCGAATTACAAAAATAATAGAATAGCTATAATTTGATAGTTTTAAGTGCGATAAATTAGCTAAATAAATTGGTTCATAAAATCGAAAGTAAAAAAGTGCAATTAAAAAAAAATCCAATACAAGTATTAAGATAACATGAATGTTACGATTCAATTACGCTTTACTAGAGATAACATTTATTTAATAATTTACTTTTGTCATCTGGCGAAGTTATTTAATCATTAATTTACTGGTGATTTTAAATTTAAATATCAGTTAAGCTTAACAAAAGATTCAGCTTCCATCTTTAATCCTGTAATCACAATGTTAAAAGCAGTTTAACCAATTTTGGTTAAACTTAGATTGACCAATGACGAAAATAGATTGATTTTATTTTAGAAATAGATTAACGGTGCCAATCAATTTTAAAATATAAAATCTAACGAATTTGATTGTCCGCTAATCTATTTTCTATTTTTATTTTACCCTACTCAATCATTATTATAACGATGTCTTTAAAGGCGATTGTGTATGTTCGTAATCCACCATCTCTTGAAATTTTAAATCAACTTCTCCTTCCACATGAAACAATATACGAATCAGTAACTACTGTTCAACAAGGATACGAACAAATCAATCAAATGAAAGTTCGTGGTGCTCCTGCAATAGGAATCGTTGCGGCATTATCGCTAGTAATAGATCTTCAAATAAAACTTCAAACTTTCATCAACAATCCCAACGCACTAGACTCTGAAACTTTAAATACCTTGAATTCTCCTTCATCACTTGCCACTTTTGTTCGTAATTCTTTGGATCACTTAAATAAATCACGTCCAACTGCTGTAAACTTATTTCGAACTTCGGATATTTTATGGAATGTTACAAATTCTGGAATAAAAAAAAATTTTGATTCAAAACAAATTATTGAATCTTTGGTAGATACTGCTGAACAAATGATGCTTGACGATTTAAAAGATAATACCAATATTGGAAAGTATGGTGCTGATTTCATTTTAAGGACTGGTGATAAAAAGATCTGTGTGATTACGCATTGCAATACTGGGTATGTAATGATGATTTTGTAGCGATTTAAGTTGACACTTGACTGGAGTTGCAACTTCTTTTGACTGAAGTTGTACTTGACCCCTGAAATTAGATCATTTGCACATAGCTAGCAATTTTAAGCTGTTGTAACTTCAGTCGTGTATCAACTTCAGTCAAAATTTTTGATGTTGTCAATCATATTTAAATTCAAAAATCTTTTTAAGTTCCTTAGCAACATCTGGATATGGTACTGCTCTTGGTATAATTCGTCATCTCCATGATCAAGGAAATCTCTTACATGCTTATTATACAGAAACACGTCCTTATAATCAAGGTTCACGGTTAACTTCCTATGAATTATTACATGATAAAATTCCCAGCACCTTAATTTGTGATTCAATGGTATCCGCTTTGCTTTCTTCTCATGCTTATAATTCTTCATCTAACAAAGTGGGTCATAAAATTACTGCAATAATTGTTGGTGCTGACAGAGTTGCAAAAAATGGTGATACTGCCAATAAAATTGGTACTTATCAGTTAGCAATAACCGCAAGATATCATAATGTGATGTTCATTGTAGCCGCGCCAAGTACAAGTATTGATTTAAAAATTCAAAGTGGAAATGATATTATAATTGAAGAAAGAAATGAAAATGAAGTTATTTTTATTAGTGGATTGTTAAAACAAGATGGAATTGAAAACCATCAAATAACAAAAGTTAGAGTACCACCCGAAGGTGTTAAAGTTTGGAACCCAAGTTTTGATGTGACACCAGCTGAATTGATTACTGCTATTGTTACGGAGAAAGGTGTAATTGAAAAAGAAAAAGGAATGAAAGAATTTGATTTAAAAAAATTTTTGGTGGGCTAAAGTTTAAGAATTGGTCAATATTAGAATTAATTATACAGTAGATATTGTATTATGAAGTTTAAATACATAACAAATTTTAAATTTAACTTTTAAAAAATCTAAATTAAAACTGTACTAATACTAAATATACAGATAAGATTAATATACGACATAACTTTAAGTAGGTAGCAGGTGTAAATATCGGTTAATGTTATATGGAGGTTACAAGTACGTATATGGTATAAAAAAGGTTATTATGTGTCTACAAAAAAAGTTATAATAACTGAAATTATACGCAATACAATTATTATTCAAAATATAATGAAAAGTGAGAACTTCGCTAATATGTATTAAAGAATGTATCAGTATATGGTTGATAGTCACGTTTTTATTCACATATTATCTACGTATTATCTACATCTACATATCGATCTTTATGATGATCAACCCATGTTGCCCCTTTTTAGGGAAACTCGTGACTGGTAAACAATACGTACATATGGTTTTATTATTTATCAAGAATTATTTTGTTTCGAAATTTTTAACGTTAAACTTTTCCCTTAGATTTTTAAATCCATACTACAATTAAAAACATTTAATTCCTTTAAACGAATCAAAAACGACGACAATTTTTTTATATTCGTTTTCTTTAGAATAGATTTTTTTCGTAAGCTTTTTGAATTTACTGCTTAAGGTCTACTTTACCAATTAGAAGGTATTGTTATGCTTTTTCCTTA